TATTACAAATAGTAAGTATTTATTATACATAATTACACTTATTTGTTAAAAACTTTAAATCATTGTTTTTTATTTTTAGATTGTTTTTTTAATTTGTCATTTACACTGCAATTTTTGTAACAGCTCCGTCAAGAACACCATCAAATTTTATATATTCCAACGTTTGGAGTAAGTTTACGTTTTAATTCTATCATATAATTATATAAAATTTAGACTTATATTTTATTTTTTCAATTGATTTTGTAGATACTATACAATCAAGTCATGCTCCGATATCAAATTTTACTACCAAAAATACCACAACATGTTTTTCCAAACCGAGTGTTGTAGGAGACACGAGCGTCATTGATCTCACAAGTGATGACGAGCTTGACTCAAGAATTATTCCTCAACTTAATTTAGAACAATCAAGTCTTAGTAGTCATACTACTAGTGTTTTACGAGGATGTAATGATTCTTATTTACATATCTTTTTCTATGAAACTATTTATTTTCTTTTTCCTCTTGGTCATCATTTAAGAAGTATTTTTTATAATGAAAAATAAAATGTAGGTGTTAATGAAGCAACATTATTTTCGAAGATGACGATGTTTAGAGGATGTTTTGAACAAACCAACTGTGAATGAGAGCCAATTCCTTGCATGGTTCGAGGCGAATAAAATATACCCAGAGGCTCGGGAGCTTACTTATGTTGAGGCACCATCTAAATTTGTTTGGGACGCAAAAGAAAGAGAGTGGAGGTCTCGAAGAAGGGAACATGGTACAATAGGCCGCCTAAACCATGTGAACCTTGGTTGCGGAGATAATTACAATTTGAGATGTCTATTAAATGTTGTTCGCGGTGCTAAAAATATTTAATTTTCTGATACTGAATTATTTTTTATTTATAATAAGAAAAGTGATTTGGCAGATCTCCACACGCCAGAATTCTTGAATAGCATCAAGTGTTCTGGTTGTCCCAACCATGAGTTGCACCTGAAGATAGGAACTCCAGTAATGTTGTTGCGCAATATGGACCATTCTATGGGACTGTGCAATGGTACTCGATTGGTTGTGACTAAACTCTCTACTCATGTTCTCGAATACAAGATATTGACAGGAGATCACGCTGACGAGAAGGTGTTGATTACACTATTAGTTGGTGATAATGAGGAGTTAGCAAATAATCAAACTCATAATGTTGTATACAATGAAGTTTTTAATAATATATGATTGTAAAGTCACGAACAATTTATGATTCAATAATGTTCCTATGTATTTTAATGATTTCGATTTCGATCATAATGCACGTGAATTTATATTATTCTTCAAAATAATACAGCCCGTGCATCGCACGGGTTACGTACTAGTTTACAATAATACCATTATGTTTGACTGCTATTTATTAAAATTTGACTTGATCCTGATCATTAATATGTTGGATCCAATGGTCTATAATCATTCTTATTTCTTTCACTATCTATCATTCTCATATGATCACTTCTCTATATTAATTAATTATTCATTTTTTATTTAATATTGTTTTCACTATTTACTTATTTTTATATTTTATAAATTTATAATTATTTAATATAATTATAAAAATATACTTCTTCAAATATATATATATATATATATATATTTATTTATTATTTACTTTTTTTATTAATTATATAATCAATTAAATTAAAAAAAAAAGGTGCCCGACCGTGACTTCTCCAGCCGGCGGGGTTGGACCTTCGTTGTCCGTCCGGCCCGTGATTGCGTACAGGAAGGGGACCGTCCGGCCGGTTTATGCGACGCCCCTTGGCGTGACCGAACTGACCTACCAGTCACGCCCAATCCCGTTCGCGATCTTCAACCGTGCCTTAAAGCTTCCGGCAGCAACGGCCGGACGCGATACCAAAATAAAAAAAAAAATCTAAAAATTATTTTACAATGAAAAACAAAAAAACATACCTTACCAGCAATCGATCACTTATCGATACCCCCGCGTTGTTGGTTCATTTTGTCAAATTTTTTTTGGGGTTCAACGAGCCGTTTGCTGAGAAAGGGAGACAGCGAGAGAGAAGGGTGCGTGTGTGTTAAGGGCAATAAGGTAATTAGGACGGGCAATACATAGTAATAAGGGACGATGAGTAGCGGTATTCATTCGAATGCAATTGTTCAAAAACCACAATAAATAAATGAGATGCATAATTATCTATTCGAATTGTTCAAAAACCACAACAAATAAATGAGATGCATAATTATCTCAAGCCAAGCCATCTCCAATACCAAAATTGTGCGGGTGCTTCCCATTTCGGGGGAAAACATAAACAAAGCAATAAGAATATGTGGAATCAATCCATGCCTCTAACATAATACAACACTTGGAACTACAAATTATCTCCCCATAATTCAGCAGTATTATAGTTTATCAAAACATATTGTTAATAAAAAAAGGAGACAAATCACACATCATGTTGGAAAAGTGCACGGATGACCCAGGAAATTACAGAATAAAAGAAATGAATATGCACATTGATAAACAAAGTGTTCGACATGTAAGCAGTTCATCCAGCCGAAGTTTCGCTAGCTTTTACAAATCGACCCTTCACACGTTTCCTAGTATCAGCTCTTGCTTTTCGTGATTCATACCGTATATGCTTGTCGTACCTATGCACAAACATTGTGCCATGATTAGATACAGGGAGATAAGTATGAGAATATGATAAAAGAGGATAGCAGAAGACAGATACCTTCGTGCTTTCTTCTTTTCCTTGTAGCGTTGCATAGCATTGTCTCTATTTTTTGCAAGCAGCTCCAGGTCAGCATTTGTCATGGCCGAGACATGTTCACCTCTCACTAAAATGGGCTGATCTGTGAACTGGGGATCTTTTGAGCTGCCTCCACTTTTGGGTTTAGGGAAACCTAAAAATGATGGCTTTGATACAGGGAAATTGTTGCATTCGGATGACGCAGGCCCCTAGTTATTTGAGATACTCCTTGAGTTATGACAAATGTAATAAAACTCACACATTCTGAATTTCGGAAAATAATAAAGAAATACAAAAAACACAACGTTATGAGTTTAAGCTTTCAGTTTGGACTCCTAAGATATCACCTTCATAGATGATAGAATCATTGGACCAAACCAGTGAAAATGGGACAATCAAATAATGAACAATGAATCAACTTACATTCTGCACAAAGCCAACTGCTATATCATGGAACAAGTATTCTGCGTACTTATTGACATAAATGCTTTATCAGAGTCCTAACCTAACAAATTATTCAATTGTCCCTACTTCTCACTATCAAAATCATGAATGAAATATGTTGCGATCACAGTGCTCTGTGGGCTACTAATGTGTTTCTGACCATGCATTCATATCTTTGGTGCATACTTGAATGCCCGTTTCCAAATGGTGTACATAGGAACTGTAAAGAGAAGGAAGTGTTATAAAAAAACTTTTATTTTTCCAGAACCAAAAGGTCTAAAACCCTTACAACCTTGTAGCAAGATCAGTTTCTAAACATATTATACTGTCCAACATAGATATCATAATACTGTATATCCCGAACATCATGCTGCCGTGAACTTCTGATATGTTAACAGGATGACCTTAAAGGGTCCGCAAGAGTGTAAAACAAAGAAAAGCAAACAATGAATTAGGTTAATAGCATTTCACATGACACAACTGGTATACCAGGGGATATATTCCCCAAGTAAAATTGTATCTATTTTAATCACCATGACACAACTGGTATACCAGGGGATATTTCCCCAAGTAAAATTGTATCTATTTTAATCACCATATGAAGCAGTAATGAGGACAAATAGAAGATGGGCAAAGAAATAACTTCTCACATTGAAGAGAATAATGTCTTCATTAGCAACTAGATTGTTCACCTCAGAGAGGTCCAGCCCTCTACGCCTAGACAAGGGTACCTCTTTTAGAAGTTCTCCGTAACTTTTGACAGTGTACAACATGTCACTGACATCATCATCTAGTTCTAGGTTGCCAGACTCGTCATGGCTCCTCAACTTTCCCAGATTGAAGTCCCATATCTGCAAAACATGAAAGCAAACAACATTAAAGTAGACAGAAAATAGCAGTCCAATTTTGAACCGAGGAACAACAGGGCTTGATGGTCACTTTCTAAAAATTGCAGTTTTCCAAAGCAATAATGAGATTTTATGGCTTCCTACTCCGCATGAAAATAGAATGTCTACAAATTTATGAAATATTAACTAATCCTTAAATATAAATATAATCACTTTCCCATGTATACGACGTGTGAGTTTAGCAACACCCAAATTTTGACCAGACCTTGGATACCAGATCCACAAACAATAAACATCAGTGACAAGCGAGCAATATAGAGATCAGTAATGATATCCACTGATGCATACAATAAACATTAAGAGGAAACAGAAGTAGGAACAGAATAGGATATCGTAATCAAAGAGTTATATTACTGCAGTATTACTTGATAATATTAGAAGAATGGATCCTTATACAGACCTAGGAAATCTTTCTCCAATTAGATATATTTTATATTCAATTGCAGCCTTAAGTCTTTCAATCACGATAATTTTCCCACAACATATGATTTTCCACTACCTTTTAGTTAGACGAGAGCAAAAACAATATTGAACTTGAATTTACCCGCATGGAAATCTCACAAAAATCTATCCAAACCATCTTAGATTATGCACTTTATACAGACCAATTATCCAACTATTGCTCAAGATAACGAACACAACAACTGGTCTAAAATGCAGCTGAAGGAAGCAAATGAAAAAAAAAAGGATGATACCTGTGAGCTATGGTTATTGACTTCCTCCTTGGTCTCCATCATTAGCAATGACGTAAAACCTCCATTCTCGTGCTGCTGAGGCTGCTCTTTCTCCTCCAGTAATTGCTGCTCCTCACAAACACTCTCCGGCCGCCAACCGCCACCGCTTGGCGTCCTCGGGCCCACTTCCTCACCACACTCCGCATTGCCGCTGTCTGCCAACAACTCCAGCAGCTGCTTCAAAATCACCTGCTTCTGCTTCCCACAGGTGGGGCTCTTCCTCTTCTTCACCAACAGACTCCCGCAGTCGGAGTAAA